CGTCCGTATCTTCTGTATATAATTGTTTGAATCAAAACTTTATTTTGGTATTTTTGTGACTCATTTGAAACAGTATAATCGTTATTGTTTTATATATGAACCGATGACATTTAAAAATCACATTCTATATATGAGTTACAGTATTTGTTTAAGGGTTAATCTCATAAAAAACCTTACTTTTGTGTTTTTTCCGAATTAAACATCAACTTAATTTTTTTTACTTGAAAAGACCTTGTATTTTCATTTTTTTTTTCTAAAATACTTTTTTCTGAAAAACAAAAAAAAAACTCTCAACCTTCTAACTGTTTCTTAATAAATCTCAACTTTTTTAGTTTTCTCGAAAAACCCTTACATATAATAACTCTTTTTGGAAAAAAATGATTAAAAGGGCCATATTTGAATTTTTTTAAGGCAAAAATATATTTGAGATTTAATTAAAGAAAAAACACAAAATATAAAGTGTTTTATGAGAGTAAACATTTGCTTGAATTTAACCATTTTATTTCGAAAATCAAATAAAAATAACCAAAATCAATTAATAGTGAAATCTCTCTTTTCTAATATAATAATCCTACACTTTCCCTTGTTATTTATTTATTATTATTATTATTATTTTATAATTTTTAATTTCTTTTCTCATAATCTCTAAAAAATGACACATCTTTTTCTATCACTAGTTGTGTGCCCATGCAAAGCAGCGACGATAAATAGTTTTCGGACGCTGATTAATTTATCTCGGTGAATAGTTTTTTTTACTGATATCAGATCAAACCATAAAAACCTTTAAGTATAACCAAGTTACGATATTGATAATTTTTTCATTTTTACAATTGTCAAACGTTGATAAATTCATTTATGTTGCACTTCCGTGCAAATTGCAATTAATCACTCATTCATAATGTTAACTTCTAATAACCGTAACATGTTAACTTGTTTCAAAACTTTAACTGGTTTGGTGGGTTGTAGGGTTGTAATAATTCAATCCGATTTTTTTTCTCAATCTATTTTAAGTTGTTTTTGTAGTCCTGAAATCATTTTAATTTATATATATAACAAAAATGTTTATGCATTTATTTGTTTATTATAACGTTTTACTTTTATTTTTTAATAAGATTATGAATTGGATAGGACCATTATAATCCTAGATGTTTTTAAAAATCAAAATGAATTGAATCCAACAATACAAACAAATGGGTAAAATGGAAAGATGTTTTACTTTGTTTTTGAGTTAAAAAAGATTCTTACAATATACCTTCTTAGCCAGTTGACAAAAATTCACATAAAAATCAAAAGCCGTTTCCAATCTTGACAAAACGAAGAATGCAACTATTGAAAAATGTCAATATCATTATATGTGAATATAACCTTCAACAAATAAGCTCATGATTAGTTACCGAAAAAATAGAGACGGCCTGTAACATAGAAATTCATGGCTGCTTACCAGGATGACCATATGCAACCATGATGGGTTTAACATTCTTAATGGTAGTGTTAGATACTCGATTCTAAAAAAAAATCGATATATTGAGAGAAATGGAGTGAAGGATTACAGATGAGGCCGTATCTAAAACCATAAAATCATAGTTCAAAGAAGAAATATTTATAGAGAGAAATGGAATGGAGGATTACTGTGGTGACATTTAATAAATTGATCATGATATTGAGAAGATGAATCATATCGCCATTGATACCCAAAATTACCATTATTTCCATTAAGGGCCCATTATTTTAACAAGAAATCCAATTCCTTAGAACTTTGTAGAAATTGTAGAAATTTTACCTGAGCCATAAAAAACATTCAGAGAAAAGGATATTGTAGAAATTTTACCTGAGCCATAAAATCTTTTATCATGTGTCCGTATTCCTTAGAACTTTGTAAACGGAGAATATAAGATTTAAGGATTCAAATTTGAAATTAAATTGCTAGATAAACTAAGTGTGAGTTTTAATGAAGGAATGTCGGAAATAACAACACGTGATTAGGGGAATTAAAAAAAAAGTCATTTAGTTGATGAAAGAATATCATTTGATTATTTATGAAACATTAATCTTTAATGTGATTAGAATTTGAAATGGAAATGCAATATGTGTATTGAATGGTAAACATAAGTTTATTGTACATGATATAATAGGAGTGGTATTGAAATGCAATATGTGTATTGAATGGTAAACATAAGTTTATTGTACATGATGTAATAGGAATGGTACTTTTTAAATTTTAAGAAATATCTAAAATGTTTTATATAATAATAAAGATTTTAATTCAAATTTAAATGTTTACGTCCTTTAAAATTAACATTATTAATAATAAATTTGAAAATTCAAAATGTTTGGTTATGTTTATGCAAGAGGGCGACCATTGAGCCATGGTCATCGAAAGATAATTACCGGTATTCCAGGTCAAATCCGTCTATTCAAATTTCATTGCGAATAATGAAAATACCGCTTGAAGAGTTCATAATGCTAGTTGTTGGTAAATCCAACAACCATATAATCTGCTGCAGCTTGTCCTCCACCTCTGATTCATTCATCGATTGATATGGCATCATCCATCCTACAAGCGTTGATGTGGGTCGTCGCATTATCGCTGTGCATCTCTTCCAGTGAGTGTTTAACTGGAGACTCGATCATCGAACATAGTCAGTCTGTAGACGGTGGCTTGTGTTTTAATCTCATCGGACCTTCTGGTTATAATTGCTTAGAACACACGGTGACTTATCTCTCTCGCTCTCTCACCTTTTCTGTTTCTATACAACTTTATATCGATTACTGCTGAATAGTGTATTTAATACTTCAAAATTTTGATTGATTGAGATTTTCGAAGAACACTACAGTGACAGAACTGGAAAAACCTAAATTAGTTTGATTGTATAATGGCAGCACCTTTTCCTGATTGTTCATTTGTTCTATATTCCATTGCAGAATGTTGAACTCCTGGCGAGTTATCCCAAGAGCAAATGTTATTGTCACTTTAGACTTTGTGTGTAATAGCAATTCCTTTTCCTGATTGTTATGCATTAAGTTCATTTTCTTCATTAGAGAAGCTTGGATTGAGAATGTCCGATTTAGGTTATGCAACTCAGGAATATAGTCCATACTGTGAGTTTCACTTCTTAATTGGCTAAACCTGAATTGTTTTGAATTAAATTAGGTATTAGTTGATACTTACTTAATGTGATTAATTAGTCCAATATCTACTCAAATGATACAACGAGAAACTTAAGCAGATGGGTATTTCTATATTTGGATAAATATTTATAGTGAATGAGGCTTGATTGAATTTCAGAAACTGACTATTTGTCACATGTAGGCTTCATCTACTTATAAAAAATTAGTATTGAGACATGAACTTTAAGATTTGGTAAAGACCCAATAATTTGAATTGACGATTCATCACAATATGATACAAGGATACATATGTATAAAGGTAAAGGGTAACTATCTTAAATAGAAACTAAGAATAATGCTAAATGGGAGAGATCTCTTACCTTATGGAAAATCTAATAAAGATGATGAATATACAAGAAAGGAACTAGAGTTCATTTGAAGGATTTGCAAGGACTCTTGAGGTGATTGTGTAGAGCATTCCATGCTAATAATATGTTTGGATCAAATTCTGACTGTGTTAATCAAATAACAGACTGACTAACTTTCCTAATGTGTGTATAAAATAACTTCAGGCTCAAACAAAGGATGGTTTCTTGCTAGGGCTTCAACGTGTGTCATCAGGCATTCTTAATTTGGGAGCACAAACCGCACCTCCAGTTTTGCTCCTACACGGACTCTTTATGGTGACTGACTTTACCACAAATTCTTAATTTACATCTTTATAGTTATGGAATATGAACATGAAATCATAACTTTAGTTCAAAATAAACTAAATTTTTAATCAGGGTGGTGATGCTTGGTTCATGGATTCCCCAAATGAATCATTGGGTTTTGTTCTTGCTGACCGTGGTTTTGATGTTTGGGTTGGAAATGTTCGTGGAACAAAATGGAGTCATGGCCATGAATCTTTATCAGATGGAGACAAGGTGAAAAATAGATTATGTTACATTTTTATAAACCTTTAGTCATTAATTTCAAATGCTATATGTTTAATTGCTTTTTTGTTTTGGCCCTGATTTAGGAGTTTTGGGATTGGAGTTGGGAAGAGATGGCTCTTTATGATCTTGAAACAATGCTGAGTTATATAAATTCCAAAACAAGCTCCAAAGTTTTTGTTGTGGGACATTCACAGGTTTTAATTATTACACTTCAAATTTATTTTGTAAATTTGTCTTATAAAACTACATTGCTAATATATAGTGTCTATGTATTCTGTTTTCTCAGGGAACAATAATGTCATTGGCTGCTTTTACTCAACCAGATATTGTTAGCATGGTTGAAGCTGCTGCTCTTCTTTCTCCTATCTCATATTTGGATCACATCACATCTAAACTCGTTCTTAATCTTGTTCATATGTATCTTGATGAGGTCTCTTTCTATTCTTCAAATTCATTCAATCATTTTTTTTAAAAAAATTTATACGTAAAATTTTCTTCATAGGCACTTGGGTTACTGGGAATGCATCAACTGAACTTGAAGAGGTTAATTATTTTTCCATTTTCCATTTTCTTTTTTCTGAACATTTGAGTGTCTAAATCAATAAAAAACATGATATATATATATATATATATATATATATATATATATATATATATATATATATATATATATCTACACTGTTTGTTTTCAGTGACATTCTCACAAACATGATAGAGTCTGCTTGTGATGGGCATTTAGATTGCAGTGATATGTTAGCATCCATTACAGGTTATTCTTTTACTAATTTGGTTTCTAGTTTACTAATTGACCAACTTGTTTAACTATGTTGCTGATATTTTGCGTAAATTACAAATTGGTCCCTGGGACTCTCTGATTTTGGTTCCATTTTTCAAGGATTCTTTTTGATTTTGGTTCTTAGTTCAAGGTTCAAGGTTGTAGGGACCAAAATTGTTATGAAACCTTAAAACAAGGACCAAACTTTAATTTACTCTGCATGTTGCAGGTGAAAACTGCTGTTTTAACAGCAGCCGTGTGGATGTATATCTTGAATACGAACCTCATCCTTCATCTGTAAAGAACTTGAAGCATCTTTTCCAAAGTCTCTTTCTGTTTCCTAATTCCTTATTGTTTTACAATTACATCCAACATTTTATACATTCGTGTGACATTTTCATTTTATATATATATATATATATATATATATATATATATATATATTGATTTCCAGTGATACGCAAAGGTACATTTGCAAGGTACGACTATGGAAGTATAAAGAATCTGCTACAATATGGAAAACTGAAGCCACCAACATTTGATCTTAGCAAAATCCCAGAATCATTGCCAATTTGGATGGCTTATGGGGGAAACGATGCTTTGGGGGATGTGATTGATGTGGAACACACACTAAAAGAATTGAAATCAAAACCAAATGTTTTGTTTTTGGAGGATTATGGCCATATAGACTTCTTGTTAAGCACAAGAGCATATGAAGATCTTTATGACAACATGATCAACTTCTTTAAGTCATGTGGAATGTCCAGCTAAAATTTATACTTTTGGAACCCAAATCTTTAGCCAATACATGTATAGATAGGTGTTCCAACAGTTTGTTTTAGGAGTTGTAACTTACGCAATAAACTTATATAGATGTGATAGAGGAGAATAAAGGGGTATAATATATCTCTAACATCGATAATATAAAGTAAAGTACCTAAAACTTGAACAAATCCTATCGAAGTAACATCAGTTATGAATCAACTTAAAATTTTCAATTCATAATTATATGCTTAAAAGGATATATAGATTGTCTGCAATTTCAACAAAGTTTAAATTCTTATTTTAATTCTTTAATGTACGCTCCATTTTGTAGTTTTGTAAGAGATACCGACTTTTTTTTTTTTTTTTTTTTCTTTCCTTTTGACATGAGAACAACCACCTCCCATTCGTTTACCATACCACATGCGCAAGTTTTTTCCACAAATAACCTAGTTGCAATTTAATTGGATTTTGTTAAAAGATTTCAGGATATTTGCATTAGCTTTCACATTGACATTACTTGTTTTGCAACAACATTGAAGCATTAATGCGTGGAAATGACGTGGGAGGGAATTGAAGAGTTATACCTTTTTTTTTTTTTTTTTTTTTTTTTTTATTTTTATTATTTTTTTAATATAAACTACTATAAGTACTTTTCCCGGTACCAACTTTTGGGTATAAACTCTAAGAAAACATGTTTTTTTTAAGAATGACAATATGACTTACCAAGGCAAGGCAATGATATTTTCGTTTTGTTCGTTTCTGAGTAACTTCATTTATTTATTTATTTATTTATTTACTTTTTTTTTTTACAAATTTAGGTAACGATTTTTTTTGAAAATGTTCACATATAACCATTATGACCGACTGCAACAAGTTACAATTGATTATAATGGTTATATGTGAACACTTCAAACAAGTTTGTTACCTAAATGCATAAAAAAACGAAATTATTTATATGTGAACAAAACGAAAAGGTAATTACCATGATAAGTTAATTTCAATTTTTATTAAGGTTGTTGATCATAATGTTTGCAATGTTAATATATTCGGCCAAATTTCCTTAAAACAATACTTGTGACCATTTATGAGCATTTAAATTAGTCATGACATGTTGGAAAGCCGTTTTTGTACACACATATATAATAAATTTGTTGGAAGTGTTCACATATAACAATTATGGCTGACTATAACTTGCTACAGCCGATCATAATGGTTATATGTGAACATTTCCAACAAGTTGGTTACCTAGATGTATACAAAAAAAAAAAAAAAAAAATCGAAGTTACCTAGATATGAAAAAAAACAAAAAAGTAATTACATAAATCAATTTCCCTTTAAGAATATGTTAAATTTTTAGTGTAATTGTCAACAGGAATTGCACTTTAATGGTAATTGTCAACAGGAATTGCACTTTAATGGATTTGACATCACTTTTTCATTTATACATATGTATTCATCATTTTATATTAGATTTTATTTTTCCTATTGAATTTTTTCAACCGCCAATGTTGATTAATCGAATACCAACTATTCCATTAAAGAATTAAGAATTACTCTTTTTTTGTTCTCAATCTTGGTTGGGTGTTTACATTAAATAGTGGAGTATTTACTTAGAAAAGTTGCAAGCAAAACATAATGATGGATTCAAATCAGAGCACATAGCAACAAATGAAGCATCAAAGGAAGCAACTTGATTGAAAAACTTCATTAGAGATCTTGGAGTAGTTCCAACCATTCAGGAACCAATGAAACTTTTCTACGATAATGAAGGTGCGTTTGTTTTAACTAAAGAACCAATAGATCATGGCAAGTCGAGACATATCGACAGAAAGTACCATTATATCAGACATAAAGTAGAAGAATGTCACCTTATTGTGAAGAGGGTATCATCAGAAGATAATCTTACAAATCGTTTGACAAAGGCTCTAAGTAGGGTTAAACACAATCAGCATGCTAGAAGCTAGGCGTGGGAATTATTTGGTCCGTAACCAAAAAACCTGAAAACCAAATCGAAACGAAATCGACTTCAGACCGAACCATATTCAAATTTGGTTTTCGGTTTGGTTTGAGACCAAACCGAATTGTGAATTTGGTTTTTGGTTCGAGTTTAATCTCATGAAGTTTAAACCAAACTGGACCGAAAAAACTGAATTAATAAATAATTTAATTAAAAATATATTTTATATTTTATATTAAATAAAAATATTAATTATAAATTAAAAATCATTTTAACTCACTTACTTTTTGGATCATTTTGTATGAAACTTTAAATATTTCTCTTTGCAATTTTAGGTTTCTATGTTAAACCCATTTTAATTTATGTTTGGAATTTTTTTAAGTTTATATTTGGTTTCCTCGATTTTCAAACCGAACCAAACCGAAATAGAATTTGGTTTTCGGTTTGGTCTAAAAAAATTGAATTCGATTTGGTTCGGTTTTCGAATTGGACCATAAAAATTTTCAAACCGAAGAAACCAAAAAACCAAAAAACAGAATCGATTCCCACCCCTACTAGAAGCATTGGATTGAGATATGATATTATTTTTAGTAGTTAGTTGATTTGGTTGAAACTAGTAACAAAATAAATGTAATTGACTTTTGATGATTAAATAATAGAGATTGTTTATTGCTTTGTTAATTATTTATTCTTGTGTTTCACTTTGCATGTTTTACTTCCTGACTAATTTAATTATTCAAATTTCATCGTCACTCATACTTTAGGAAGTAGTGAATTAAGATTGCCATGAATTGGATTTTTGTGACAACCGAAAATTTTATTCTTGTAAAAGGCAAACATATCGTGTAAAGGCCAAACTCATTTATTTTATTAACTCATATGGCTAGATTAATGGGTTTTAAGAGTATAAACCTTTGTACCATAAGTGATGTTGTTTAAAAAGTGAAACATGTTGAAACCGGGAACCTTCGCAACCCATCCGAACCGAGGACTTCATTCGAACCATATGTTGGATAAGGTGTCTAAGTCCATAACTATTTCTGGTATGTACTTGATCCGACCCGGCATGGTCCATTTGGGTTGCATGGCATCATGCAATTGGATAGACTAAATGAGAGAAATAACACTTGGAGATTATTAATATATTATAAGTTCTAATATATTAATAATATTATTTGATTAGTTTGATCAAGAATTAATTTAGAATTAATTATGTGATCAAAAGATAACTAATTAAATATATGGGTTGATTATGTAAATCATCCATATCTTGTATAGTGGGCTAAAAGGCTCCATGGACTATCAAGTTGGGTTCCACCCATAGGATGCTCCATGGATGCTCCATGGGAGTTACAAACCCATGGGTCATGGAAATGAAGAGTCATGACACATTAGGGTTTAACCCTAGATGTGTCAACACTATATAAGTAACATGTTCTCCACCTAAAATCGGCTACACTAAGAAACAAGAGGGCTTGGCCGATTTTGAGAAGTGTGTATTCTCTCATAAGTTCTTCCAAGAGCATTTGGTGTTGTGTGAAGCATTTGAGGCATCACACTTGGGGTGCTAGGCTCACAAGGTTTCAAGGAACACAAACAACAACAAGGTAAGTTATTCTATCTATACTTTATGTTAAAATTGTTCCCCATGTATGCTAGATAGGAATATAACCTTGGAATTCAACTTTGCATGATAATTAGACAAACATAGATCCAAGGTTATTAGGGTTGCATGTACACTTAGGAAGTGTTAGAATGCTCAAAACCCATCAGTGGTATCAGAGCCTAGGCTTGTTTGCTCTTATTTGTGCTTAAAAGTTGAAAAAAGAATCGGAAATCTTGCTGTCTGCGAATGGACTCGTCGAGTCTATAGGGGGGACTCGTCGAGTTCATGAGTATCTTCAACCAACTCGGCGAGTGAGTTCATGCACTCGGCGAGTAGGGTCGACTGATTGCAGAATTTCGATTTAGTTGCTGGAAATGAATTAGAAACATTACCCTAAACTGTTTTGGTAATTGAAAACTTGTTTTTGGTGGTGTAATGTCTTTGCTAATTCATTTACAACAACTAGTTATCAAAATTACAAAGTTTTAAATGTAATTTTTGATTGTGTTCATATTCATGTTCTTGTTCTTATGATGTTTTAGATGATCATAGGAATTATTTGTAACCTATGTGGTAGATTAATTCTTGATCATAATGTGTTTTAATGGAGTCCATAACTTATCCTTAAGTTATGGAAAACCAAGAGTCACACTTGAATTAAAACCATTAAAACAAACACAAGAGTTAGAAAAATGAAGAGTCTTCATTTTATTACTCTATTAAACTCATAAGTTACAAGAAATGAAAAGTTTTGAAAGTTACAAAACTTGCCCTCAAGTTTTGGAACAAGTAAAGTTAAGTTAAAACTTTAAGTTCCAACCCCTAGAATTTTAAAAGTTAAAATTCAACCCTTATACTTATATTATGATGATTTAATAATTATATATATATGTATAAGAATAAAGTCGTCTTACCGCTAGTACGCCTCATTCACGAAGCCGGTCTATAAGGTGGGTATAAGGTTGTTGCCTATAAAATGGTGACTTAATGGGTGTCTATTCTCACCCACCGCTTGCTTGACTGGTGGAGGGTCGTTAGCCGAACGGGTAAGACAAGGACTTATAAATTCTCATTCAAAGTATGATGAATATAATAAAGTAACTAAATGTTTTATTAAATTCCCAATCTTAGTTACTTTAGGAAAATGTGAATAAGGTGCTAATCCATGAAATTACACTTTACACTTTGTCTAAGTCGTTGGTGGAGCGTGTGTGGTTAACCGGCACACTAACTTGGACTTAACAAGGTAGGTAAAGGGTGACTTAAGGTTTATTATAGTATCGGTGGAGCGTGTGTGGTTTACCGGCACATCGATTGAGTGATAAACTTTAAGGGTACCAAGTGATTTGCATGGTTACTTCACACCTCGTTTTGTGATCCTCGGTATCCCAGTCACAAAACTTGGAGGGCACTCTCGAGATTGAAACATGCCTTTGAAAAGTT